TCTGCTCGGTGGTGGCCAAGGCTGGGCAGCCAGGGCAGGACAGGGCCTGGGGCAAAATGATAGGGTTATTGACTCTTCCGGGCCCTGCTTAGGAGGCGGACTGAGACCCAGCAGGAGACGGAGCCGGGCAGCAGCTGCCAGGAACTGATGTGAGAAGGAGCATTTATAACCAGAAGAGGAGCCAGAGGAAATGATGACTCATGGCTGCCCAGCGTCTGCTCCAGGAGGGTGGGAGGGGCCGCGCTGTGGCGGGGGGCGGGGGAAGGCGACCGCTTCCAGGAGAAAAGTATTTACTTTCTCCATCATACAAGACGGCGGCACTTATTTTCTGGTCCTTTAAACAACAACAACAACAACAACAACAACAAACTGACGTGCACTATTTTTTATAAAAGGCCCCTGCAAAATCCCTGACCAGTGCCCTTCAAAACTGTCAAGATCATGAAAACAAGGAGCATCGAGAAAGGGTCACAGCCAGGAGTCTAAGGAGACATAGTGAGCATGAGCCACGCGGAGTCTTGGATGGGATCATGGGTCAGATAAAGGACAAGAGGTTAAACTAAGGAAATCTGCACGATCTTGTCCCAGCAGGCTCAGATTGTGCGCTTTGGCTAATGATCGTGTCTCCACGTGGGCGCATTCGTAGAGACAAGTGCGCCACGCTCCTGTACGACGTTCGTAGGGGAACCGCGTGAGGCAGCTGGAATTATCTCCACGGTCAGCTCACATTTTCTATACATCTAAAACTGTTCTAAAAAATTAAGTCTGTCAAAATTTTAACAAGATACCTATTGTAAAAGGGTGTTTAAAAATTATCGTTAAAAATCATTTACGTGTTCACTGGAAACATTTTAAAACGCACGTTTTAAAATTGGAGAGCACGCTCCTGCCCCCCGTGCATGTATGGCCTCCCATGTTTCTCTTTCCTCTGAGTGTCACCAGATACAGGCAGTGAGTGTCCCCTCCCCCTCCCTGCCCTCCCATTCTGGGGGGGGGTGAGTTTTCCGCCAGCTCCCCTCCTTCCCCCCACCCCCTGCTCTCTTCTTCCGTGACTTGGAGACGCGCATTTCACAAAGCTGAGCCCAGTGATGATCATGGCCCCTCCAATTTGCTGAGGACGCTACAGCGAGCCTATGTTAATCTCGCTTTTCACTCCAGCCCTGGCAGGGACTATCAGCATCAGTACCATTTCACAGAAGAGGAAACTGAGGCTCAGAGAGCTTCGGCAACCCGCCCAGAGTCAGCCAGGCTAGGAAGCAAGGGGCAGAGAGAGCAGGAGCTGGCAACTCCCAGGTCTTGCTTTCTGTGGGCTCTTCCTGTCGGTCTTGCCCCACCCCCGCTCTCTGCTGAGCTGGGCGTGCTCTGGGGGCCCCTGTGACGCCCAAGGGCAGAGTCAGGGTGACCCACCGCTGAGGGGCATCGAAGACATCTGCTAAGTTACAGCGCATGGGCTGTGCTGTTTCAACAGCTTTGACAGAGCTGCAGCCACCGGCTCACAGGGGCCTCTGAGGGCCGCGTGGGGGCCGTGGGCGTGTGGGGAGTGGAGAAAGCTCAGCAGGGGCCCTGTGAAAACCAAAGGTAGGAGAAGCTCAGCTTTGGAATTTTCTGGGTCTCTGGGGGACTTCCCGGGGGCAATCGCCTGTAAGAATAGGTTGCCACCTGCTATTACGGAGCCATATTTAGCGGCAGGGCCGGCCTGGTCCCCGGTCCTTCCTCCAGAAGGCGGGCTTTCTCCTCGATGCTGCAGTCTGGGCAGCTCCCTGTCAGAGCTCTGCGAATGGGTCTGAACTGTTCACGGAGGCCTCGCGCCTCCGGGGAAGGGGGTGGGGGGCGCTGACCGCGGCCGCAGCGCTGTGAAGGCCGGAAGGGCGGCGGGAACGTGCAGGTCCAAGGGCGGCGCCGCCCGGGCTCACTGGTGAATTGAGTCTCAGGGCAGAAAACGAAGGTGAGACAATGAATTTGGCTTTAACAGCGTCGCCTCCACAGTCCCTCATCACCGCCCCAGAGCAACTGGGAGCGAGTCCGGGGTTATGAAGAAAGAGCTCAGAAAGATTTATAGTCAAATCAGGGTTCTTTCTGCTGGCCGTTTTTAGCTGTGTGGGCTTCCTGTACCCTCCCCCACCCCTGGCCTCAGTCTGCTTATCTGCACAGAGGGGGTGAAAATCCTGAGTTCGGAGTCGGGGTGACCACATGAGCCGATGCAGTGAAAAGCGCTGCACGCGTGGCACACGGGTGTGCAGGCAACGGGCGGGTTGCTTTCATTCTACAGGTGAGACCACGGGTGAACCTGGGCTGCTCCGACCCTCCGGCTTGAGGCCTACGCTCAGTGTCAGGCACAAGGGATGACTCTGGACGAGCCCAGTGCCCCTCTTAGGGGATCTCTGAGGCCACCTTGTTGGCCATGTCTTAGAGGAGACGGAGGGCTCAGGGGCTCACTTGCCCCCAGTCTCCCAACCAGGCGCAGAGCCTCGACTCTCCGGTGGAGGGCCCAGGGGTTGCTGCCAAGGCTGCTGGGCCTGCTGGGACTCGGTGTCGGCCACTGCCCGTCCGTGACAGCCCCGGGCCCAGACGCCAGAATCGGGGTGAGAGGCCAGCCAGCCCCATTCACAGACTGCAATCTGAGCGCATGCCCCAAAGCAGGGACGTCCAGCCCGTGGCCTGCAGGCCGCATGTGACGTAATGTAGAATTTTAAATTTTCTTAAAACTTTTTTTGCCCCCTCCTCCGTTTTTGTTGGTGTTTGTGTATTTAATGGGTGGCCCACGACAACTCTTTTTCTTCCAGTGTGGCCCAGAGATGCCAAAAGTTGGGACGGCCCTGCTAAAAGAGAATGCCACGGAAACAAGGGCCAATGTGGTTTAAAGGGACCTCGGGAATGGCCGAGATGCTTCAAGAAGGCTGACGTATTTGATTGGGTGCCCATCATGGGGGATTTTACCCCGGAATCTAAGCCCTGCCTGTCTTCTCCCCAAATGGGCTGGCAGTGTTTAAACAGCACTTAAATCCTACACTTGTTACTTGCGACTTGGCCCTGAAGAGGTCATTAAACTATGAGGTAGCCGTTCAGTCCAGGTGTGGAACTGAGCCCAGGTGGAATCTAGCCTGTGTGTGAAGCCCCCGAGGCTGGTCAAAGTCAACACCAGCCGCCTGCCCGGTTTGCTCTAAACCCCCTGGTCCTGTGGGTCTTCCGGCCAGGAGACCCACCGGGCCCTGCACTTCCGTCCCGCGCGGTTGGAACGATGGGAAATGGGGGTGTGTGTTTTCTCAGGTAAGAATGTGCTCCGGCATCTCAGGAATTTGCTCACAGGCTGACACAGCTGGGTTCAGCCCGCCCAGCCCTGGGTCATGGGGGTCATCTGGGGGGTGGGGAGGCAGGGGAGGGCCACAGGCCTTTACTTTCCCCCGGGGTCCCCAGGGTGCCCGCGCTGATGACTCGCACAGCTGCCCTGCGTTGCTCAGGACTTGACACTTTCCCGGGCCCCCGTCCGTGGGATCTAGCGCAGGGGTTAGCCACACGGGCCCACGGTCTGCACGTCTCTAGGTCCCCACTTCAGCTGCGGGAGGACCTTAAACAAGTCACTCCCAGGACCCCAGTGTCCTCTCCTGTAAAGTGGGAATACAGTTGACCCTTGAGTGACTCAGGGGTTAGGAACACTGACCCCTGCATAGTTGAAAATCCGTGTATAGCTTTGACCCCCTACCCCCAGAAAACTTAATTATTACTAGCCTGTTGTTGACCGGAAGCCTTACCGATAACATAGTTGACTAACACATATTTTGCATGTCATATATAGTATATACAGTATTCTTACAATAAAGTAAGCTAAAGAAAACAGTAAAAAATCAAAAGAAAGAGAAAATACCTTTACAGTACTGTATGTATTTAATGAAAAAAAAAAAATCCGTGCATAAGAGGACCCAAGCTGCTCAAACCTGTATTGTTCAAGGGTCAACTGTAATGATGCTGCTGCAGAGATTTTGCTAACGCAGCTCCATGTCCGGCATACAATTTACACTCAGTAAGTATAAGCTCTTATTATTCTGAGTATCAGAACCTCTAGGTGGGCCAGAAAAGGAGGTACAATTCAAGATGATCAATTTTGTTACTGATGGACTAGCTTGAGCGAGTTGAAGCGGGTGGCGGAAAACAAGGTTTTGATTTATCAGATCAGATGGGATGCTTCGGCGATCACAGGCCTTATTTATTATGAGTCAAAAAAATGGAGGGCGGACTCTATGAGACTCTTAAATAATGGTCCCAGAGTCTCGCCTGAGACATCTTCCTAGAAGCCTGGGGAGCTCTCAGCCCAGAGCGGAGACCGCAGGCTCCGAGCTCAGCAGGTTGGATTGCGTCCAGCAAGAAATCAGAGCCCAGCCTCGCAGGGCAGCTTCAGGCCCTCGCGATTCAGCTGCGCCCGCGATTCTCGCTTAAACGAACATGCCACCCGCCTCTGCTGTGATCAGTGCTGCGCCCACTGTGTGGTGCCGTGGTGACCTGTCTGGCAAATACTGAGAACGCCAGGTACGGTCACTTCCTCTCAACGCTGAGCATTCATTAGGGTTACCCCTTCCTCCACACCGAGTCACCCTCCCCGTGCCCCGGAGACTGAGGTGTCTGTGCCGTCATTGGCCTGCGGAGTCCTCCCGCCTGACCATCAGCCCTGAACCTGACTGTTCGGGGGCCACCGGTGAGACCAGACCCAGAAGGCGCAGAGATCATGGGGTGGGACTCCCCAACCCCCCTCCAGTGGGAGCACCTTTGTAACACCAACAACTAGCCCAGTGCCGGGGACACAGGAGGCCCCTGTGTGCGTTTGTGCAAATTGTGTGCCTTAGTACGAGGCCCCCAGGGGACAAGAAATTCCAGAAGCTTCTCAGAATGGAAATAGCCAAGCTGCTTGGGGGGATGGAGAAGCCACCGATCACCCCTCACCCTGCTGCCCACTGCCTTGCAGGCAAAACCCCGCGGCCTGCTTTGCAGGCTGTCACTTTGTCACTCACCCAGGGCTCCTTGGCAGATGTCAGTGCGGGTGGCTCCTCCGACAATAAACTGGGGATCATCGCAGATCTCCTGGGAACGAGACCCACAAAGTGCTGTCAACCCGCAGGGCCCACGCTTTTGTGGTTAGGACGCCTCAGTTCCCAGTAGGGACATCGCCCCCCTTCTTCCTGCCCACCTCCCCTCTGGGGACAGCTTTGCGGGTACAGTTAGACTGCCATTGAGGTCCCTTCCTCACCCCTGCTTCATGGGTCCCGATGGGTGCTGAGGACACTCCGGCTGAGAAGGAGAGTCATTGCCCAAGGCTCCACACTGTGTAGAGCCTGCGTCCTCACGCCGGCTCCCAGAGCCGCAGCGGCATCGCGTCCAGGCTCCTCTGCGGGGCGGCGAGCCCGCCACACGCTGGAGCTGCCCGACCCGTGCGCCAGCCCCGCTCCTCGGTCCCTGTGCCGCTGTTGCTTTGCTTGCCTGGACTTCCTCCCTTTCCCACCCTCTTCTCTCCTTTTCCACCTCTCACCACATTTCAAAAGTCAGCACCACCTCCTCCATGAAGCCCTCCTTCGAGCCCAGCGGCCGTCACTCTTCCCTTTTGATCTGGAGTCCCAGAGTACTTCCACTCTGCAACTGAATTTTTAGCTCTGCGCTGTCTGGTGGTGTCTAGGGACATCCCTCCGTCTTCCTAACACACACGTCTTGAAGGCCGGGGAATGTAGCTTTCTGGATTCGTCTAAGGGGCCACGGCACTGGGAGGGTCCATGTACTGTGAACCCGCTGTACGTTAATACTGGGTGTGGTGTTTTATCTCATGAGGCCCTCTCAGGACACAAACGAGTATTGTCCCCACGTTACAGGTGAGGACACAGGCTTAAGGGGATGAAGCAACGTGTTTAAAGTGATGCAGCTCACAAGTTACAGACAGCGCCGGGACAGAGGTGAACTTCCTGGTGCAAAATGTATGCTCTTCCTGCTGCTCCTGCGCTGCCTCTAACTCATCAGCAACAAACCTCTAAGGCTGTGAAAAACCTCAGGACGGTCCCCTTCAACAATCCTGGCCCCTTGGTGAAGCCGCCCTCTCGGGGCGCGCTTCCTGATTCTGCAGAGCCCCACCCAAAGCCACAGAGGAAATCAGGGTACCCATCCGGGCTTCTCTGGGCCGGGCAGCCTCATGGAGCTCCACCCACACCCTCGGGAGCCCCTCTCCGTCCAGCGGAAGCGTTTCCTGGGTGAGCCCCGAGTGGAGCCTCCGTCCTTCCCGGAACCACGATGTGCCGTCCAGCACATTCCTCCGCATTGTCTCGTCCCTGCTCAGGGCAGTCTGTTTGGCAGATGACAGGGACAATGAAAAACCCAGGCCAGCTTTGCGTGAGGCCTGCCAGCCAGGCACTGACTCAGCTGATGGAATGGCTGGGGCTTGGAGCCGGGAGCCTCGTATTGATAACCCGGAATGCGCCAAGCTCTTACCCCACAAGGATTTTTCCATTAGGTTTCAGAAACTTTCCTCCATCTTTGGCAGCCTCTCCAAAGAAGGCAAAGGTCAGAGTGGCGCTTAGAGAGGCTTCGGAAAATGGAACCGTGCATACAGCATATAGACCAAGGAATTAAACGTGGATGTGACCTAGGAACGGGGCTGGGGTCTGGGGCTCCGGACTCAGGCTTTGAGTTTGAGCCCTGGCTTGGCCACTTTGTCTACAGGTTCCCTGACCCTGCAAGTTCCTTCCTCTCTTTAAGCCTCTGTGTCCTCATCTGTAAAATGGGGACGTCAGGACAAGTGTCCCTATTACCTAGGGTTACTAGGAGAGCTAAATGAGAAAGCTATATAAACGAACCCTATAAAAACACTCTGTAAAAACAACCTATTGTTATTGTCACCAACGAAGCTGATGATGATCACTGAACTTGGAGGCAGGAGATGCAGGCTGGCAGCTGGGTCAGCGAGCTGCGTACAAGCGAGTCCTAAGCCTCTCAGAGGCTCGGTTGTCGCAGGAAAAAATGGGGACTGCCATCCCCTGCCCTTGCTCGGTCCAGATAGGAGTCGTCCTTGGATTGGGCTGGCTTTCTCCTCGCGGTGTCCCTGCATTTGCGACTTGAGCCATTTCTCCTCAGATGCCTTCCCCTCCCCGAGCCCTCTGCCACCTGTGTTGGGAAAGCCCCTCTCAGAGGCGCAGGCCCCGCAGGCCTACTCTCACTTCCTCCGGGACTCATCTCCTCCCGGCCTCTTCCCCAGTGGCTCGTGGCGGAAGCAGCAGCGCGCAGACCCGGTGCCCCTCTGCTTCCCAAGTTTCCTCCTTCCCCTTCCAAGGCACCTGCCTGAGAGGGGCGGGCCACAGCTTGTACTTCTGGTGCCTTTACCTGGAGTCCCTCACAGTCTGCCTCTCACCCCGTGGGAATCCTATCCCACCGCAACGCTCTGCTACGTCGCCCATGACCCGCTAATGTCCCAGAGCAGTGGACGCCGTTTTGGTCCCCTGGCCCGGCCCCAGCCACAGCAGCGTTCGAGAAGGCGGGAGGGAAGCAGAGAGCCGTTGTGGGCTGTGGGCTCTCAACACCACGGGCTCCACCCTGACACCTATTTGAGCAACTGTGTAACCTTCCCAGGTCTCGCTTTCTTCACCTGCTGAACGGAGGGTAGTAGCTCCTACTCCCGTCGGCTGTGTGGAGCTCAGCCTGTCCCAACATGGAGTGGCTCTGGTTCTGTTTCCCTGTCCAGCAGTCCCACAGGCCATGCCGACTGTTGGATGACTGTCTGTCTCCCTTCACCAGCCCCTGGTGAAACTATTTATCTGCACCACGAGAAGGCAGCGCATATAGTTTATACGCAGTTAGGTCATTAATAGTTTAGAGGCAGCAACTACCTGCGCTGTGGCCGGTGTAGGGCAGGCATGAATGAATGAATGAAGGAGTGAGCGCGCAGATTCGCTTGGGAACCTGTAAAGTGTTGCGCCAAGGCGGGGTGACTACACTCTCTTGTTTCTCACTTTCACAACCACAACTTCATCTGAGGCTTGTTACAGTCCTGCATTCATTCATTCATTCATTCATTCACTCGCTCCACCAATTGTCACTGTCTCTTTGTTCCCAGGTGTAGCCCGAGCACTTAGAACACTGCCTGGCGTATCACAGGTTCTCAGTAAATATTGCTGAGTGACTGAATGAATGAATGTGCACTGTGGGAGACCACCGACCCTACCAGGCACCGAGGATATGTTGATGACCGTAACGCATGGTTCTTGCAGGTCAGGGGACGTTCAAACAAATATATGTCATTATATTTATAAACTGTGAAAGTGCTACGAAGGAAACCAGCAGGGTTTGGGATAAAGAATAAAAAGTTAGGGAGGGGGCTGCTGAGAACGGCCAGGGACGATGACTTCAGGGAGGGGACACTGGACTACATCCCAAAGAACGAGAGTGAGCCAGACTCCGGACAGCCAGGCAGGGGAGGCCCCGGCAGGTGAGAAGGCGGGAAAGTGGGTGCCTTTGAGAAGGTGAACGGCGCTGGGCCTCGCGCCTGAGTCAGTGGAGAGAGGAGAGATGCAGGCGTTGGCTCTTCAGAGGAGGAAGTGAAGGCAAGGAAATGAGTGTCTCAGGGCGAGTCACCCAGCAGGTTGGCAAGAACTGAACTCAACTGCTGGCCTGGGGCACATCCTGTGCACTTGCCCCCCGTGGCCTGGGTGCGGGGTAACAGAGAAGGTGACCGGGGAGGCTCAGGGGGGTGGAACCAGGGCAGGGACACTCGTTCTCTGACTGGAACCTAGAGGGTGGGTTTCCCGGGAAGCTGTGTTTAGCTTTGGTCCCATTGGGAGGTGGCCCCAGAGGGGGATCCACGGGACATGCAGGGACAGCTAGACTCGGGAGCAAGCTGTCCCAGACATGCCGGGCCAGTGGAACTAGGAGGAACTGGTTCTCCACTCCACGTCCCTGTCCTTTATCACCAGCGTGAACGGTGTGGAGAGGTCTTTTCAGCTCCCCTTTGTTCAATAAACAAGAAACTGGCTACCTCTAACCGGGACTGCAGGGGACAATCCTGTCACCAAAGGACGGGGCTGCGGGCGTGCCCCTCCCTGCAGCCAGCAGCACCCAACTTTGAGACTGACTTTTCTTGGTAGATGAGACCCCCCCCACCCCCGCGCCCCGCCTCCCGTCCTCCTTCCTCCAGACCCTCGTCCCCACCTCCCACCGTCTCGCCCCTGGAGTGCCATAAAAGTCGTCCCCAGGCTCCCTGCCGTCACCCGAGTTTTAGCGAAGTCCGCAGAAGGCCCTGCTTACGGGGACCCGTGGGTGGAAGAGGGCCAGGCGCCCTCTGTGAGCGCGGGCCACCCGGGAGCGTCCCCGCGCGCCGGCACCGCGTAACGGGCTGGGCAGCCCGGGGATGCTCGCGGGCGCTGGGCTGCGCGCTGGGGCTGCGCGGCGGGGCTGCGCGGCTGCGGGGCGCACTCGCCCTCCGCGCCCGCCACTTCCGCCGCGCCGCCGGGCCCCCGCACCCGCCTCGGCCCGCATTCCGCCCGTGCTTCCTACCGTGGGCCGCTTCCACACGATGCCCTGCGTCTTGCTGGAGTGGGGTCCCAACTCCTTGAAGCCCAGGGAGGACGCGAGGGCGGGGAAGGAGGGGTCCTGGAACAGCACCCCGGCCTCCAGGCACTGGTCCCGCAGCTCCTCATAGTCCTGGTTGAGGTATTTGACTGCCCTCTCGTGCGAGCCCAGCCCCTCGGCCGCCTCCCGGTCCTTGGCCAGCTTGGCCGCGATGCCCGCCATGGTGCCCGGCTGCGCAGCGATCGAGGTCGGGTGCTCGGTGCTGGGCTGGGTGCAGGGGCGCGGCTGGGGCCTTCGCTCGGCAACGGGACTGCGGGCTGCGCTGCAGGCGATGATTCACCGCCGGGAAGCGCCCTCCGTCCGGCGGGGTGTGGCCTCGCCGCGCCGGGCCTGCTCGGCAGCTGGCCCGGGACCCAGCCCGCCTGCGCGCGGCCTGAGGGACGCGAAGCTGGTGCTGCCACCTGCGGCCGGGTCCGGGGTGGCTCAGCCGGCGGCCCAACACAGGGGCTCCCCGGCCGGAAAGTTGGGACACACCCCCGAACGACATAGCCAGCCCCCTCCCTCCGACCCCCTCCCCCGCGCCCGGGGAGAAAAGCTGGACAACCCCGGGACTGGGGCAGTTGTGACTCTCCAGGAAACAGCCTGTGAGCCAGCAGGTCAGGGAGGGGGCCTAGGAGACATCCCCTGTCATCGATAGGGCCCCAACTTTGTGCCACTGTCCTGACGGCTATGCACAGGCGACCTCATTAAATGCTCCCAGCAACCGGGTGAGAAAGTTGTCCTCCTGCTATTGTGCCCACTTCACAGATGCGGCGACCAAACAGAACGAGGATGAAGTCAGCAAGGCCTGTGGCAATCGCGATGCCGCGCGGCTTCCGGTCAGCTACTTGATCCGCAGGGTTAACAGATTTGGCAAATAGAAATACATTCTCCCAGTTACATTTGAACTTCAAATACACGCTAATAATGCTTTAGTGTAAGTGTGGGGGGAAGAAGGAACTTTCCTCTCCTTTTCTAGGTTCTTTCACTGGTCTAATAATTGAATCAACATGAGACAGGGTAACCAGAGAAACAGCCAAATGCAACTACATACGTACACAGGGAACCCCCACACCTATGGCAGGTTCAGGGACAGACAGGGGAACAGAGGTGTACAGGGCATTCTCAGCGAAGGCCCCTGTGGCTTCAGAATGGAGGATGGACAATCGCAGGAGGAGTAGACAGGGAGTAATTACTAGTTCACCCTGCCCTATAGGTATGTCAGAAAGGTTATCTCTGATCATCTTTAGTTATGGGCAAGGACGCTGACTTAAATTCTTTGAGGGAGACATAAACGTTTCTCAGGGGTCCATTGCCTTCAGCTCAAAGGAATTCACATGCCACAGCAGCACCCCCTGGGAGGCTCTGAGCTCTTCAAGCGTGAGTTCCAAACCCACTCAAGGAGAGCACAACCGCCGTAAGAGGGTCTGCAATCTTGTTAACTATCCTGTGATCCAGTCCCTGCCTTGGCCTGGCTTTCTCCCACCTTCAGGGAATCTTCCGTAAGGTCCCCTGCTTCGTTTCAAATGCATAACAGGAGCCGCACAACTGTTATTTTGGGCAGCATTTGAGATCTCGCTTCCCGGATATGTTGTCAGGTTTGGCTCAAATAAACTCATAAAAATTCTCTACAGGTTTCGACGTTTCTTGCATTCACAGGCTGGAGAGTTCTTCCTGTTGCAATAGTCTTGCCCTGTTTAAGCCTGGCTGTTTTTATGCGATGTTCTCCATCCTCATCTGAGTCTGGACACGCTGCCTGAGGGACGGGAACCACCACCGGCCAGCAGTCTCTGCTTTCTGTATCCTTGGGTGACATGGGAACACAGGCATTCACTTCTAGCTCCAAGGTTTCTGGTGCAACAATTTTCTGAAGCCGTCCCAATGGAAAACAGAGGCAAGAGACTGTCCTTCCGGGAAGCTGTTAATTGGTTTCACTGTGCAATTTCCTCTGGGCTCACCTGTATTTTTTGCTCTGGGCTCTTGGGAGAAAGTTTCTCCATCAGCCCAGTGTGGCAGAGCAGTTGGGAATGGCCAGACTTCTGCCAGTCTCCTGGGAGACCTTCGAGCCTGCTAAGCTCTCCCTCCCCAGGCTTCTAAGCAACAAAGGACTGGGCAGACCAGCCCTATCATCGCAATCCAGTCAGAAACGCCCTGCATCCTGAGGGCAGAAGAGCTTCCCGCTCGTCGGGGACACCCTCTCCCTCTCCGCAGCCAGGCCTCAGGGACTCGGGCTTCTGCTCCCAAAGGCCCAGAGCTGCTTTGAGCTACTCAAATTGATTTGCAGCCATGCACAATGATTATTCCCCCCTGCCCTTGGACAAGATCCAGTTCTTAAACCTGAATAAACACGCTCTTGAAACTCTTCAAAGCCTCCCTCACAATGCTGTGGCGCAGGATCAGGCAACAGCTCATTTTTCTCTGACCTGACAATGCCGGTCCCAGGCACACGTGGGCGCAGGCGGACACACCATGGCCTCGCCCTTCACGGTGGGGAGGCTTCCCCGGGTGAGTCCCCAGCGCTGAGGGCAGCAGTGAGTCAGAAGCAGCCGGGATCACCCAGAGCTGCCAGGGTGCGGGCCCGCAGCAGGGTGTGTGAGAGAGAGCTGAGAGAATGTGTCTGGATCACACCAAGGCGATCTCTTTTCTTCCAATTATTTCCCCCAACTGAAAAGAAGAGAAAACAGCCATGCGGGCCACTGCTCCTTTACGACCCTGGATGTTTGTGACAAGTCGGAGGCACAGTCTGCAGGCTTGGGAGGTACTATGCGAAGCTGCCTGTTCAGTTGAGCGTGTCCACACGCTGGCCCCTGAGCTCCACGCTTTCTGCACGTTTTGTCTTCGCTATCCATCAAGGGAGACCTCACTTTCCATGCTGTATGGATGGGAAAAAGGAGGCGGAGCGAGCCTGGCCCCACCCCCTAGACCACATCCTGTTCCGCTGTCTTCCTGGCTTAGGAGGGAGAGGGGGATGGCAGGAGTCCCCTTTGTCCCTAAGGCTGAGGCCCAGGAAAAGCCAGTCACTTCTCTCTCATTCAGATCTGAGATCTGAATTCGAAGGCATCAGAGAGAACACGAACAGTATAATGTTGCAATGAATGGCTGTGTTTTAGAGGTTTCTCCCTTTTGGAGCCCTTGGTAGCCAGTGAGTCTGGGCACCGGGCTGCGCTTGGGAACCTCTGCCCTGGATGTGGGCCGATGTGGGGGGCAGAGCGAGTGGAGCAAAAATGTACACTCTGACCCTCGTTCATTGGCTCGCTGCCTCCTGCAGTGGTCACGTGACTGACGGTCCCCATCCTGAAGCCAGCCAGGGCTCCCCAGGTTTACCCGTGTGTCCGGTGACTGCTCCGACACGTTGCCACCCCTACCCCCCGTCCCCCCTCCCCACCACCAACGCCGCCCAGTCCCCTGCCCTCCGCCCCCGACCCCGCCTCTGCTTCCACAGGCAGACGCCCGCTCCTCCTGTGTTTCCCGTTCCCTGGCTGCTCTTTCTAAGTCTCTGTCACCGGCTCCCCTTTCTCTGCCTGGACCATTGTACAGGTTGTTTGGGCTTTTTTCCTGCCTCAGAGCTGCCTGGTTCAACATCTTCTCTGCTTCCACCTCCCAGTGATGGGGCCGCCTGTGGATGTGGCCGGCACATGGCGGGGGCACCAGGACATTTCCACTGGCTGATGCGTCTTCCTCCTCTGGAGGCTGCTTTTGGTTTTTTATTTGGTTTCTTTTCTCTGCTCAATATATACACTGAGGAGACTTTTCTACGGACTTAAATTTTTTTTTTTTTTGGTTAAAATATTAATTTATTTGTTAGACTATTCATTTGGGCTTCCAGACACAGCTAGTGATGCTTAATGGCACGCGAGCCATTGTCCAAATAATTTAAAGATTTTATTTATTTATTTTTAGAGAGAGGGGAGGGAGGGAGAAAGAGAGGGAGAGAAACATTGATGTGTAAGAGAAACATCAGTTGGTTGCTTCTTGCACGCCCCCTACTGGGGACCTGGCCCGCAACCTGGGCATGTGCCCTGACTGGGAATTGAACCAGCCACCTTTTGGTTTGCAGGCCAGCACTCAGTTAGCAGAGCCACACCAGCCAGGGCGTCCAGATGATATTTATAACTTAAACCTGCATGGGATGGAAAGCCTGGAAAGACATTGCTTTGCATCGACCCTTCTGCGGGCCCAGCAGAGCCCATCCCCCGGCTGGCACCGAGTGCCGGCTACCCAGCCTCCTTCCTTCCAAAGGGAGGCTCTGGCCTGCCGGGCCCAAATAAGGCAAAGTGACAAAAGGGGCCTCCATGCAGAGTCTGGGCTGAGTCACCTCTTAGGGACGTGGCCTCGCAGCATCTGACTCAGAGCAGGGAGATCCTGCAGTTCTTCATGGCAAGAATGAGAGTCACAGAAGCAGCAGACTCACGGTGGGGAGGGAGAGCAGGGCCGCCGCCTCTGTCTAAGTGCTGAGGATGGGCAGGCGAGGCCGCGGAGGCTGTGACGGCGGAGGGTCCAAAGGCCACAGGGGAGGCTGGAGCCAGCATGGGGCCTTGGATGCACAGGGTGGGGGCCCATCCTGGTGCCCCATCCTCAGGCTGTGCCCAGTCCCTGCACAGATGCCGAACGTGTTGTGGGGCCAGTCGCTCTGCTCTACTGGGTTATGCTGGGGAGGCCGGGCTTCCTGGCTCACGCTCAGAAGGGAGTGTCTCGGAGGAATTTCCTTCCACCTCAGCAGTCCAGGAAGTGGTCAGAAATGTGAACCACAAGAAGACAGGTGTGCCCTGCGATGCCTATTCTGTGATGTGCGTTCGAATATACATTGAAAAGCGCACTGATGAATAATGAGAGCTATTGCCTTAGCGCTTTTTATGTAACTTCTGCACGTAGGACCAGGTGGTATAGACATTTACGTCTCCGATTACCTGCTGGCCTGTAAGGGGCTGAATGGGACCGCGCCTTCCTTACTCACCCGTGATCCTGGCAGAGCACGGGACACCTGCCGGGTCCTTGGTAACGGTGTATTGAAGGAGGAATCGCGGACACAGAGCCTACCCCCGGCAAAGCGTGCTGGCGTCTTTAAGGGTCATGTCATGGAGATGAGGTGGGGACGTGCTGCCGGGGCCCTGTGTCCTGCCCAAGGGTCCCTGATGGAGTGCTGAGCAGCCCAGGCTGAAGATCGACCAGGCTTGTTTCAGACGTTTGGGTTTAGAGGGGTGTGGGGTGTGCCATCGGGGTTTACAAGAACATTGAATATCCCTCCCCAGGGTGGGGGCGAGGCACCCATGGCCTCGGTGGGAGGCCCTGCCCTCCCTCCATGGGGCTGGGCTG